TATAGAGAGAAAGTGAAAACCCTAGGAAATGAAAAAGAGAGAGAAGAGATAAAAGTATTATCTAAGCCATATTAGCCTTCCAAGCTTTTGCTGTCATCTTCCTTTGCATCAACTTAGCCTTCGAAGCTTTTGTTGTCATCTTCCCTTGCTCTCTTCTACAGTCTAAAACCTTGAAACTAGAAAGTATTTATAGGACCCAATTAACGCCATGTTTGGGTTATCATTTCTGTGGGGTTTTGATGTGGTTTAAATATTTGACTAGTTGGTATGAGATTCTGAATTGTTATGTGAGCTGCCTATTTATAGTATTGGTTTATTTTTGGGCAATTTACACAAATATGGAAGAAATGGGCTAAACACAAAAATATTAACTGTTGGTAAATAACAAAAATAACGGCCTAAGTTAGTGCTTAAATAAAAGTACAATAACATTTAGTATAATGTTTGTGTTATAGTGCAGTTATTATTTTTGAACTTTACTAATATCGGCCACATTGAAAAAGTTTTCTGGATCCGCTCTTACCATTCACTACCCAAGAAGCACTCCTTGGGTACTTTTCGAGTGGAATGGTTTGTACACGTGGTGTCTACTTAAATTTCAATACCCCAAACACAAAATTACTTAGCCCTTGTTTATCATCCATTATTTAGACAATTAAAGAGTTTTAAATAGTATTTTTGGAGAATATGTGGTTAAAAATAAAAATAAAAAAAACTTTATTGATTTGTGTGTGGAATATTTTAGTGTGTGAATGTGTGATGAAAAATGATACTGTAGCAAATAATTTAAAATTTTAAAGGAAGACAAACAGGTACTTAATTCACAACTCTTGAATGCTGAGTGGGCAAGTAGATAAACACAGTTGGTGGATGAACCCACTCGGCCTTCGATGTGTTAAGATTTGGGTAGACGATTGTAGCATGTGTTCATGTAGTATTGTTACATTAAAGGATTTTTTATTTCCTTTTTCCAATGTTATATACTATTATATTTTGTTTATTTTCTTCTTTTTGTGTGTAGATTTGGCCTTATATTATACAGAAGGCTAAAGATGGAGGATTGGATGTTATACATACTTACGTAGTTTGGAAAGGACATGAGCCTTCTCCTAGAAAAGTATAGCAAGTGACCTCTGATAAATTACTGTTAATTAATTTATGTGCAAAAACTGTGTTTATTCATGTGTTAAATCTATTTTTTTATAGTTTAATTTTGAAGGAAGGTTTGATCCCTTGTAATTAGAAATTTCTATTACAATTAAACCCATGTTACTAAATGTACATTAAAAGTAATCTCAAAAAATGAGGATAAAGGTGCAAAGGGAAAGGCAAGGGCTGTTTTCTGCCATTTACTCTAATTTATTCAATTGGAGGACCTATTTGGAGTTAACTGAGAGTTTTGAGGACTGATTTTTAGTTATATCAAAGGTCAAATACTGATTTGGAGTTACCTTAAAAATCGAGAACCTATTTGGAGTTATCGAACTGTTCAAGGACTGATTTAGTGTTACCATATAGATCAAGGATGAATTTGGAGTTACATCAAAGTTGTAGTTATCATTTGTAGTTAATAGAAAGTTTGAGGACCTAAAATAAATTATCAAAAAGATCAAGGACCTATTTGGAGTTAACAAAGAGTTTGAGGACCTCTTCGGGGTAACAAAAGTTCTAGGATTGATTTTGAGTTAATACAAAGTCTGAGACTAATTTTTAGCAAAAAGAAAGATTGAGGACTGATTAAGAATTACCATATAGTTCAAGGATGAATTTGGAGTTACAACAAAGTTATAGGACTTATTTCTAGTTGACAGAAAGTTTGAGGACCTAATGGAAGTTATCAGAAAGTTTGAAGGTTGATTTTGATTTAATAGAAAACTCGAGGACGTATTCAGAGTTAAAAGTAAGATCAAGGACCTATTCACAGTTGTGAAAATTTGAGGAGTTTTAAAGGTCAAAGGCTGGTTTTGAGTTACCAAAATTTTGAGGACCTATTTCGAGTTAAGAGAAAGTTTGAGAACTAGTTTTAAGTTAACATATATTTTAAGGATGAAAATGGAGTCAACCCAAAGTTGTAGGACTTTTTTGTATTTATGAGAAAGATTAAGGACCTATATGAAGTTATTAGAAAGTAAGAGGACCTATTTAGAGTGATTGAATGTTTGAGGACTGATTTGGAGTTACCTTAAAGTTCGAGGACTACTGTGGAGTAAACACAAAATTGGAGGACTGATTTAGATTTAATTGAAAGATGGAGCACTCCTTTGGAGTTTTGTCAAAGTTGGAGGACTAATATGAGTCACCTCAAAGGTTGAGGACCTATATGGAGTTATAAGAAGGTTCGAGGACCATGTAGATTAAACAAAACTTTGGAGGACTAATTTGGTTTTAATAGAAAGATCGAGAACGACTTTTGGGGTTATGTCAAAATGCCAGGACTTATATGAGGGACCTCAAAGTTTGAGTACCTACTTGCAGTTGAATAAAACCTAAAGGATTGATTTTGTGTTACTTAAAAGCTCGAGGACTAATATGAGTTACCAGAGAGTTTTGACTTAGCATTATCGTATAGTTCAAGGACTTTTTAGGAGTTGCATTAAGGTTGGACGACTTACTTCTAATTAATAAAAAGTTCAAGGGTTGAATTGGTGCTAAGAAAGGTTTGAGGACCTATTTGGAGTTAACAAAACTTTGAGGACGTATTTGGAGTTAGCTAAGAGTTCGAGGACCTATATGGAGTTAACAGAAATTAAATGACTGATTTTAAGTTACCATATAGCTCAAGGACTAATTTAGAGTTACCATAAAGATGTAGGACTTATATGTAGTTGTAAAAAAGATGGAGGACCCATTCATAGTTATCAAAAAGTTTGAGCAATGATTTGGAATTACCTCAAAGTTCAATCCAACGCCACAAAGAAGATATAAATTGAAGTCGCGTCTTTTAACATTCAAGGCAAAATCCTTTTAAGACGAGAGCTTGAGAACCAACTTCAAGAAATATCAAAACTAGGCTTTTAGACCACATATAAATGGCTAAGAATAATGTTACTTGTATATAAATAGTTATATACTGGTTTACATATAAATGGGGTGTCAAAAAGAGAGTGGGAAAGTTTTTTTTAATTACTTAGTTGAAAAAATTGTAACCCAATCATACCACATCACTTGTATATAAACTATTATATAAATTTATTATGCAACACATGTAGCACAACTGATTTAATGATACTTTCATCCTTACCACTGAATGATAAAAACTAGTTGAAAGCAATTATATAAATTTATTATGTACATGTAGTACAACTGATGTAATAATACTTTGATTTTTATCATTAAATGATAAAAACTAGTTGAAAGCAATTTTCAAAAAAAAACTAAAGGTGCTTTTTGTTTGTTGTTTTTAGTTTTTTAATTTTGCAAAACATTAAAAATGTGTTTGGTCTGATGTTCTGAAAATACATTTTCGAAAACAAAATTAAACTTATAACATAAAACTCAAAAAATGTATTTTTAACATTTTGAGTGTTTTCAGTAAAAATTCTTATAACACTCAAAACATGGAAAATAAATATTTAAATAATTTTTGAGAAATAAAAATTTTAAAAAATATAAATATAAAATTTTAGCGAATAAAATTTAAAATTCCAAAAAAAAATCTAAAAAAATTATAAATTCCAAAAAATTACAAAATTAAAAATAATTAAAGCTCTTAAAGACTATTTACCAAAAAATATATATAAAAAATATATTAAATAAAAACAAGTAAAAATATTATTAGTTCACACACACACACATATATATATATATATATATATATATGTGTGTGTGTGTGTGTGTGTGTGTGTGTGTGTGTGTGTGTGTGTGTGTGTGTGTGTGATTTGGTAGTAGAGAAGGGTCTGGCTCGGAGCCCCCATGTCTTCAAGAACACCTCCCCAGATTTTGGGAATGTTTAGTAAGAGTCGCTGGCATGAATTTCTTAGTTGAGCCTGATGGTTTAATTGATTTTGAAAGGGGTCATAAGACTGACGTTGCACCTAAGGGAAGGGCTACCCTTAATATAAGCAATTAAAAAATGATATCGAATTAACTGATAAAGAGACGAAACTAACAACCATAGTTATTGAAATCGGACCGCACAGCTGGTTCGGCCAGGAAATTGATGAACCGGACACTAACCTGGTCCGACTAGCACAAATTTGGTCCATTTACAATCAAACTGGACAAGAACTAGCCAAACTAGTTCGTATATGTCATAAATCGGGCGGGTTTAGGTGAATCGAAAACCGGTTCACATGTGAACCAATTTTTGTAAAATTGGTACCTAATAAAATTTATATCAAAGTTGCATGAAATGAGAATCGAACCCTCATTACATTGTTGAAAAGTTGAAACCTTGACCACTATGGTAAATGTAGAATTACAACAAATAATGTGAGCCAAATATATGCCTCTATTTGATTCTCATTCTTTGACAACGAAAATGAAAAATATGACCATTATCCATCACATCAAGTCATCACATTTGATTTCTATCTCTTGTGTAGGTCCTGTTACGACCATATTTTTCATTCTCATTCTTAGAAAAATGGGAATCAAACGGAAACATATATTTAGTTTAACTAGAATGACATGAAATAACATTTATACTGTCTTTTTATTTTAAAAATATTTTTAATTAAAATTAAGAATTAACATCGATCCACCGGTTCAACCATTAACCCTTAATTGAACCATTGATCCAATGACTCAATGATTTTTGTGGGTCAATGATTGGGTCAAGTCCGATAACTATCGTAATGAACATAAACTAAATAAGGAAAGAGTCACTCATTGAATATCCATTTCTATTTATTAAAGAAGACTGAATAAGTTCTGGAGTCGAAATAACTTTGGTCTAGTTTTCATGTAAGTTGTAATTGTGTTTCTGTTAGTCAAAGTCAGAAATAACTAAATTACTTATTTTAACATTATATCATGATTTTATTTAAATAAAAATAAATAAAATTGATGTATAATACAACCAAACAAAAACCAGCGGTCCGATACAATCCCACAACACGCCCACAATTCATCCAACGGATGAGTCCCAAGTTACACATGAATTGTGTTCTACTGTCCGAGCTTTAATTTTCTCAATCGAGGGCGGTGGTATTGGAAATCAATTCTATTGAAATCGAAATTCTTGTATAGGAAATCATTGGAATCATTTCCAGGTCTATCGATATACCTGAATAGAATTAGTGAATTATCCATAAAAATGAGCAAAGAGGAGGAGGATAAACGGAATACGAATAATCCATTCCAACAACCAAATAGAGGTTATCAAGGTAAAGAGGAGGAGGAAGAGATGAGGCTATTTGGAGTTCTAATGTTTGGGTTAATTGGAGCTACTGCAACTACCTTAGCCGTAAGTATTTTTCAATTTTTTAAAAATATTTAATTGAATAGTATTTTGTCCTTTTTAATAATTGTAATTTTTCTAATGATGGATTTGCATGCTTTGTGAGCTTTTCAATTTTATGTATTTCTTGATTCGAATGATTTTCTGCTTTTGATAAATTCAGTGGCATGAGGAAGGACCGTTTTGATCCACTATTTCTTACTTTTTTCTTCTTTTTTTTTTTCCCCTCTGAATTTAGATAGAGTCCAATAGAATAAATTTTCTAAAAATAATCACAAGTTCCGCAGAAATTAAGTCGAACCTGAATTGTAAAAGATTTTCAACTGTTGCGAAATTTTGTACTAGGAAAATGGTAAAACCTTTGTTTCTTCTTCGATGTTTTAGATTAGATGACAGTGGTACTTTGTCATGCGGATTTGACAACCAGCTGCTAGACTTTTTGCTGATATAATTTTTGTGGCCTGCTGGGAGTAAGCACCATGACCCAGTTTAGCAGCGTTATTTTGTAGCATTATGTGTTGTCCAGGAACAAAGTATTCAGAGGATTGTTCTATTTCATTTTATGCCTGCGACATGTTGTCAGTCAGAATTGCTGTCCTTTGCACTTATTGGGTTAAGCTTCGGAATATTTTTGAGATCTATTGTAACTGAATATGTATAGTGGAATGGAAAGGCAACAGTTGAGTTGTGATTATTTTACATTTGTCATCTATGAAAATGCCATGTTCTGTTATATGTACAACTCTTTCTCCAGGTATAGCTGTGTAAACATTTCTTGTAATTTACTTACTGAGTGAATACTGAAATAGTTGCATGAGTAAAGAGGAAAAAGAAATCACCCAATATATCAAAGAGGAAACTACTGCATTATACCTTTTCAGTGGAGGAATCTAGATGTCCCCAAAAATGTTAACTAAGCTGCTACAAAGTTTTGTGGTTAACGGGGAAAAGAAAGGTGAGACTTGCTGGAGACATAACATCAAACAAACATCTGGACGAAGAGATTTAGGAGGTCTTGTGTATGTAAGAATCATTAGTATTAGTCCGTATTTTGTTTGGCAGGAGTTCGTGGATGATTGAGAATCGCATCTGTGGCTAATGCTGTTTTACCTGTCGAAAAGATTGAAAAAATCAGTCATTCACAACCACTGATGAAGGGAATGTTATGGTAAAACTTCGTTTGAAACGATGTGGTAGAAAGCAACGTGCGATGGATTCAATAAGTTCTTGCCTATAACCTTAGATATGAATTCACAATTTTTAGGGAGTCTGATATACAAGTGTCTGTTTGTTAGAATCTATTGGGTTATAAATGTTTTTGGTTTATGATACAATTTCTGAATAGTCCAAACAGATTGGGGTCACTTTTTTTTTCCTAGCCTAATTGTAATGTTTGGGAAAGCAAATATGATAATTGCATATTTACATGTTACACTCCAGAGAATTTTTTATTCTCGATGACTATTCTAATTCCCCTCATTGCTGTAGCCATACTAGGAGAAACTATTGATTTAGGGTAGTGGACTTGTGCGAGGGATAGGGACGAGACATGGAAACTATGCAAAATATAAGGTTGATCATCAGCACCGCCACAATAATGGGGTGGGTGCGGGGGTGATCTGCCATTGATAACTCAAGTCGGGGCCCTTCCACAAATTCTGTGTTGTAAATGATGATTCAATTCATTTGGCATTGACGGAGCCTGATAATGTGAGGCAGGACTTTGCAAAGTCTGTGTGATAGAAGGTGATTCAATTCCTTTAATTCAAATGGAGCCTGAGATAGTGAATCAGAATCTTTAGTCATTGAATGACTTTGTGGCAGATGAAAATAAATAATATCTGTATTAGTTGAAAAACTATAAAAACTCATATTTTTGAGAAATTGCTAAGATTCTGTTAGTTTTGATCTAATGGGCTAATATGCTACAGATTTTTTGTAGACATTAGGGGTGTACCGATTTTGCTGATACTATTTTGTTCGTTGTACTGCATAGCTTCTGTTCCTTGTTTTAACATCATGGTCAAACCTTCTTCGTATAAGTGGCCACAATTTTTTCTAGTATTTACATTTTTAAGTTGTGGAAAGCGGATTTCTGAATCTATTGGTGCTGAATTGATAAGGCTTAAAAGCATATTATGGTGCTACCTATATTTGTGAATTACTGATAACTTGTTTTCTACAAAACTGAAAATGCATAGTGAGAGCTTGTTATATACAAAGGATGTGAACTCTTTAAAGCTTTCTTTTCACAATTGAGGTGCCAATCTTATTAACTGCTTATTAAAGAAAGAAGTGTGCAAAGATGTAAAAGAGCTCACATTGCTCCTTCTCTAATTATATTTCACAGTGCATAGGATACAAATTGGTTCATAAGTTATAATATTGATTATTCGATCTGTCAAGCAAAAGGAATGAAAATCTTCTTAACGACATTTAAAAGTTGAAAAACATTTCTGCAAATTCTAGAGATTTTTTATGTACGTATAGAGACTTTACTCCAATTGACTAGCAATAGGACATGTAGCAATCTCCCATCATCGAGTCTGGATTATTTCCTATTGCTTGCCTTTCCAACCTTCTCTGACAAAACTTATTAATAGACTCTTTTGAAATAGTGAAAAATATGAAATAGTTGCTTTTGAGTGCACACTTTACAGATATCCTAGATAAAATTTTGGAACCCTTGTTGAGACTTGAGAAGTCTTGGTTATACAATCGTGGAAGGTTGTAATTACTACAATTATCATAACTTTCCCTGTGCTATAATTTGCAGGTTACCAAATTCAGAAGGACAGTTGACTGGGTATACTCACAGGTAGTAATTGGTCTGACATCTTTTCAACTTTTATTTCATTGAAATAATGGTTAGCTGTCTGTTGTTAGCATTTAATTTGCCAATACTTGGCCTTCCTCATGGTTCCTCGGAGAGCTATGTAAAGTTAATTGGTTTGAGAAGTGATATGTTGGCAAAAATGTTTGAAAAGTTGTTTCTTTAAGACAGATGGCACTTAAATCCTTTGGTTCTGCATCCTTTTATAATATTCATGTGCAAGAGAAACTTCACCCCAACCTTCCCATCCTCCAATAGGAAAAGAAAAAACAAAGAATGAGGAGAAGGGGTAAAACAAGACTCGTGCTCTAAAGGGTAAAAGGAAGGGGAAGCTTAACTAATATCAACTGTTTTAGTCTTCAGTAATATGTTTTGAACTTATATGGTACTGCACTGCAAAAAGTTGAGCAGGTCTAGATCATCATGGAATGGTTCAAATGGTGGTTCATTTCGGACAAGTTTTCAGGAGGAAGCATGGAGAAGATATAATCGCCGAATGCGGGAAGAGTATGAAGAAGAGATGGAAAGAGTGGTGAGATTCTTTTTTACAAGAGTTTACTCTTTCTCCTGATTGAAATTTTAATTTAAGATTTTATCGGCAATGTTCAAATCCTATCAGTTTATGCCATTCATAAAGAATGTTGATGTTTTAATTTATTTTAGTTTAGGAAACATGAAGGTGTTTGGTAGGTGCGTGGATATGTGTAAACAAGCACCAAGCCATTGTATGTGTAACTTATGGTGAAACTTTAACATGAAAAAGGTGATTGTCAAAATATATTCTGTGGAAGTACATTGAGTTCAAGACTATTCACAATCATCAGGCAGTGATGTATGCCACTTTGAGGATTATAATTTGACAGAAGTTCACATGTAGGCTGATCCGTTTTGCTCCTGGAGCTGCTGAAAGATCTTGCACAACTATACCTTGTGTATGCCCCTTTGGATTTCATGTTTAGTTCGTTTCTTCTGTTTCATTTCTTATTTTTCAAGAAATTTGACGAAAAACAATGTTAAATTTGATTAACTTCCTTTCATGGAAGAAAATTTTCAGTGTTGTTTTTTCTGACTTTGATTGTTTGCTCCCTTCAGTGTGTCATACCTGCATCATGTATAACCTGGCTTATCATCATTTATCAAATTTGTTATGATATTTCCAGGAGCGAATTCGTCGAATGCAAAGCGTATTCAACAGAGAGAGAAACAAACACCAAAGGAAATATGAGAGCTGGGCAGAACATGGTTCAGGTGCGTATCATCAACATTTTCAAAGGAATGATTGGTACTGGAAGGCAGATACATCACACAGAGATCGGGCTGATAATTTTAGGGAAACTGGTCGTAACAATGCAATTGCCCCGTTGTCGCATCACTACTCGATCCTTGGTCTTGACAGGTATGGACATTGATGCAGAAAGATGAATACTTATTTTTCTAAAAAAGCAAATTAGTTAGTACAACTAATTTATCTGATAATTTTTTCTATTCTTAAAATCGAATCAAAAAGGTTTTTATAGTGATTATTATGTTTGAATCATGCACTAAGAAATCCATGGATCTCAAATTCACTCATTTGAGTCACATGTTTTGAATATAAATTCTTCTTTGGCTATCAACTCTTTACTATACTGTCAGGTCTGACTTATTTTGATAAGACTAGATCACCATAGATCATTTGAACTTTTACATCGAAATAATGAGCAAAATTTTTACGTGGAATTGACCACTTAGCTTGCTTCTTCCTCTGCAACAGGATGAGAACAAAACCATACACGGACAACGAGATAAAGGTATGGGTCAATGTTTATTTTCTTTCTCATACATTCAAATTATTTGAGGCCTTTTGATTTTATCTAAGATACCCATTTTCGTTGAATAGAAGATTCAAAAAGGGGAAAAAAAATTGAAAGACACAGAGAAAAAATTTCTTTGTTTAATGATAAGAAGCATGTAGAAATGACTCAAAAATAAAAATGGGAGAAACAAACAAGAAACAAAAATGAACAGATTTGTCTAGTGCTTAAAAAGGACCAATTGGATATGAAGGTGTTTTGCCTATGTCAGTTGACATGTAGACCTTAATTTTCTTTGATGCTTACATAAAATTAAAATTTATAAATTTTCAATCCACAATTCAAATAGTACCTATAAAGGCCTCAATGAAGAAACTAGGCCTGAGGGTCGGGTGGGTCGGTCCAAATATTTCAATACTCGGAACCACCTATTATACTTCAGGTATTTCATAAATGGAGCCATTCGGACCTTTGTAAATTTTGGAACCAAACTCGAACCGTCGATTTTGGTTCGAGTTCGGTTCTACCCATAATATTTTATTTTATATATATAATGAACATTTATTTATAGGCCCTTTTGATACTTATACATAACACGTTACTACTCGATATATTTGTGCAATGAAAAAATCTAGTTAAGAAATCTTCAAGAAGCTAAGAAATCTAGCTACATGACTCAAAATAGTGAAGAATAAAAATCACAAAAAGAGAAGAAAATTAAAAACATCAAAAATTAAATTACAACTTGAGAAGAAATGATTTTTTCTCAATAAATCTTATTCAATTCATAAATTAGGCATTCTAGAACCTATAATTTAATTATAAACAATGTTTAAATTCTTTTACTTTTAAAACGAACTTACATAAAAGATATTAACTAGATACATAAATATTCAAAAATTTGCAGTTCACGTATTGAACTCGCTCTAAGTATAAAAAAAAAAAAAAAAAAAATTATATTTCAAAAGAGAATCACGAACATGAGATAACCAAAAAGGTACACTACAGCCTAAGCTATGCATATATCAAATTCAATTGCCACACATTATAAAAAAATCACTTAAGTTTGTATATAATATAATAAAAGAAAAGGCTCAAATTGCAAAAAATGAACGCTTTGATTCATTAACTTACACAACTTTTGATTGAATTTTTTTATTCAGAGAAAGCCCAAATTACAAAAATTAACATAACATTTGAAATGCAACAATCTGATGTGAGATAAGACACAAAAGTAGGAGACATTCATGATTTTTTGGGGTTAAGACAAATTACTACCCAAATTAGAGTTTTTAGGTTTTGTATTTTTTTTTTTTTTAATCTAGCCAGTTAATTTAAAAATAAAAAATTATACAAGAAATTAGTTCTATTCGGATACTCACGATTCTGGTTTAGAAACCAAGAACCGACCCAAACCCAGTCGGTTCTAGTTTTGGCCTTTTTTTTTTTTTTTCTTTTTTCTTTTTTCTTTTTTTCTTTTTATGAAACGGACCCCTGAACCTCTGATTTCAATTCTGATTCAGTTTGAGAGGTTCAGTTTTGATTAAAATGCCTGGGCCTGGAAGGAACACAACCAATGTTAACAAGTTCAAATATTTCAATACAAATTCAAGTATTCAACAATAAAATGCTAATGCGTTATTTTGTGGTGGATAATAATTGTTAAAGGAAAAAGGAAACCTCTCCAAATGAATCAAATAACCAATCTCTATCTGCGGCTAGAAGAGAATAAAATTAAAACACTGACATGACATTTGAAGCTGAAAACTAAGCACTAATTAACAACTGAAATAAAAGAGGGCAGAAACAAAAAAAAACATCAGCTGTAGCAATTAAAAGAAATGAAACAAAATGAAAGTTCAAGACAACAGGAGCAATCAACTAGCTTTTTGCAATAATTTGTTAGAAAGAGAAGAGGAGTGAAAAATTACCCGATACTCCTGACTCTCGTAGCTTGAGAAAAACTGCAACAAGACTATTGGGTTGCGGGGTTACACTTAATAGAGGGCTAAGGCATTTATAAGTTCTTTAATACTCCTCTAATCTCTAAATCACTTTTTTTGTAGTTTCTAGGATTGAGTTGTTATGTGCTTAAAACTGTTCAAAACATTCGAGCTATTTTAAACTCTTCCCAAAAAGTTGCAGTTGGTAAAGAACAGCCCAAACTGGGCAACAGTGAGCAGCACATTTGCCTCGAGGCATGTGTTTGATTCTAGGCTTGAGCCTTGACAAGAAGTGCTTAAAGCTTATGCTTTAATTCACTCAATTGAACCGACGTAGCCCCATTGCCTCCTTTCGGAAAGTAAGCCCTTGTTTGGGCCCCATTTTGAGGGAAAGAATGCATTTTGAATGGTAGATTGATGGAGAATGTGTGGTTAAAAATTAAGGACAAGTTTTGAGTTTGTGTGTAATATTATTTTATTGTAGCATGTATGGTTGAAAACAAGTTTTGAAAAAATGAATTTTTGGAAGAATGGGGCTCAAACAAGGTATAACTAACCTTTCCTCATCTTTATTTTATGGCAGAAAGTAGTAGAAATTGAAAAGTATACAATAGGAGGAGAAATTGGAAAATCTCCTTCAGATGGTTTGGAACTAAGGAATGGAACTTAAAAAACTATTCATTTCTTGTTTACCTCAGCCACAATAATTAGAGCCTGTATTTCTGACTGTTCAATTTGATGAAGTTGAATCTAGTTGGGTATGTAACTTCTCTATATCACATGCACCAATACAGGCCTAGAAAAATCGTGAAAATAGGAAGCATCTGGGCACCGTTGAAAGAGTATCGCTTAGATTGATGAAACCATTTAGGACCGAATACAAGGAATCCCTCTACTCCTAGAACTGGCGAATGCGTCAAGGCTGGAATAAAATACAAGTAGAATACATAAATATAGAATGTATGGCCAAGGCATCATATTTTTACTAACTTATGTATGCTACCGATAAATAAAACTGGATGCACAACTATTAATATACAAGAGAAATGTAGAATTCAATAGAATTAGAGGGTTGTCAATATGTTCTCTGCTGGTTCTGATGAAAAGGTACTTTCATACAGCACGCTTTTTTTCCTTCCGTAACGAGTAGCCTGAACTTTATAATTTATAGTGGTTTTCCACCATTCTAATTTAATAGTTGATCTAGTTTTTTGAAATGCATTATGGAATTAAAACTATGTTAGTTTATGGTTTTTATGTGATGTATATCTGAAAACTTGTGAAGATATAACAAGTAATAGATTCAATTGCCAAATATAGAACATATTCCATCACTAAGACCACATGCAATTATTCTCACGACGATCCCTGACTTGAAATCAAATACAAACAGCACATAACATGAATCATTACCCTCAACAGGTTATTACAAGATTCACATCTCTACTGCCCTGTGTGTGCAAAATAACCAGATCAAGCATCAAATGGTCAATCCTCCACAACCAGAAGGAAAAGAGTCTAAACATGAATAGAAACCCTGACTTTGTTTCTCGCCTTTCTTAGTCACCATAACCTCCAATGGAATGTCATTGCCAGCACATATATTGACCCCCTTAGCCATGTTCACCTTGCCGTTACTGTAGATAACCAACCGTGGAAAATTTCTAGCTAGCCTTGTAATATTATCACCACCAACCAACTGAAAAACAATAATCTATCATTAGCCTTCATTGAGCACCTCGGATTGAATTTCATTTGCACTATTAACCACAGTTTATCTAGATGTATATACACAAATATCGATGATGGAATTTGAATGTTGCATCTCCTTCAAAAGCAAAGCCTAAAAGGGCAGTAGTGTCTGCTCAGGAATACGTGCTAACCATTTTAGGGGATGTTCGTGCATCATATGTTTACTGGCAACAAAACTGTAGACATAATTTTTAAAGATGATATTGTTGCCACTGTGATGCAAGGTCTTCATTGTCTCGTTCTCCTAAATAGTTTGAATTACCATCTGTGTTTAGATCTCTATCACTTCCGTCATGGAGTGTGGGTACTATATATTTGTCAGTACATCTACTCACATTTAAACTGCTTTTTTCATGCTGAAATCCAATATTAATACCTGTCCTCTTTTCACAATCCGTTATTGTCAAATTTTAGTCACTGCTGGTTTGTGAGAGTTCATATGATTAATGACTGCCTATTCTCGGTTGTGACCAGCATTAACATCTAATTTGACTCCCCTCTTCGAATCAATAATTAATCCATTTTTCAGGAATTCCCTTTTTTGTAAATTCTTTTCTCCCTGCTGCAAACTTGCTTCTTCACTTATTTTAACGAGAGTGTATTTTATCTTTCCTCATCCATCTTCCTCTCTTCTCTCATACACATGCATCATATGTTGTTTTTCAATGCAGTCGGCCTTCAGGGAAAAGGCGAAGAAGCTTCACCCTGATCAGAATCAGAATAACAAAGGTTTGAATTCAAGATGGATATACAACTTTTATATTTAGTCTGAACAAAATTATTGCTTGCTTGCTTGATCAGCCATTTGAATTGGACGATTATCTATTGTATTTGTTTGCAGAGGTTGCTGAAGCAAAATTTAAGGAAGTTCTGGTGTCTTACGAGGCTATTAAATCAGAACGGAAGAACAATAGAAAACAATAGGAGAGCTACATCAGAGGTTGAACACTCAATGATGGTGTCATATGGTCTCCAGCATTAACAAGAGACATCAACACGATATTCTGGGAATACCATACATGTTTATAGCTTTTCGTGTTGTAAAGGACAGCAACGACGAAAGAAACTGGCAGAAATTTTCAGCTTAGAGCTGCAGGTGTATTTATAGTTTGTAGGGCTATTCAAATGGGAAAGAGACCTTATCTTCCAGGTTGCGTAAGTCGATTTATATTGTTTTACAATAATAGAATTTTGTTAACGTTAATATGCCTTGCACAAAATCGTCATGAGGAAATTGTTGATGAAATTATGAAAGGTTAATGTGATCAAATATCATGATAAATAATAGAATAATCCTATTCATTGTTAGCAATTGCAGTAGTAATCACACGTTTATTCATAGTCAATGACTACAGTAATAATTTTTATTTGAGTAATATTATTCATAGTCAACATGTAATACCCATATGTATGGCCTAATTTTATTAATTTAAGTTTGGTCCATTCCCCAAAAGAACAATAAATATTTTAGTCCGGTCAGTTACATGCAAGTCTATCAGATGGAATGCTTGCCCCCTGCAGTTTGCCTTATTTGTCCTTTTTAGCCTCTAGCTCGAGTGGTAAAAATCTTATTTAGCCCATGTTTGGTACAAATTAAAATTCAGATTTTAATTTAAGTCAAATTTAATAATTAATTTTAACCATACATTTTGTGGGATACATAATTTTTCAACTACACGTTTCAACAGCTTTTATCAAATTTTACTAAAAATCTGATTTTAATAATTTAAAAGATAATGTAGATAATATTTTAATTTTATCTCTTGAAATAAAATCAAATTCCTATTAAGATAATATTTTTATTTCTTCTATATCTTATTTAATGTTAAAAAATAATTGAGATAATGTTTCAATTTTATCTTTTTTAATTAAAATTGAAATTTTAAAAATTATTAAGGTAATAATTTGATGTTAGCTCGACCTTATTTAATTTGAGAAGTTACGGAGATAATTTATTTTTTATTTTTATTTATTTTTGGTTATTTTAAATTAACTGTCTTATCTAATTTGCCGAAATATGTTTAAAATGGTGGTAAAATTTGTCACTTTTAAAATTCAAAATCCATTGAATCAGAACTCTCAAAGATGGTGGGCCCTGTAAATAGATATCATATGTTACCTTTTCAAGTAAATTCATTTCTCTGTGAAATACACACAGAAATATACTATATTCATTAATTGTGGGTCAATGATTGAATTCAAGAATATATTCTAATATTTCTCTTATTATTTCCACAAGATATAAGTGTATAAGTAGCACTATACATGGTGGGCCTTGTAAATAGATATCATATTTCTCTTAAGTTTGGTATAGATTTTCATGTCTCGCTATGTATGAATTAAGTTCATTTAATTTCATACAATATTAATCCATGTATTTGGATGTTTATTGAGATTTTGTCTCTCTTCCCTCTTTATACCCATTTCAAAAAGAAATTAATTATTCATATCAATCAAGGTATGAGAGGACTAGTGAAGTGGCAAGTGAAAAAGACCCACAGGCTTACTTTTGTGTATTTAAAATTTATTTAATTATTGATTTGATATTAAAAACTTACTTTTGCCTATTCATTCTTACTATCTTATTTATTTAAATAAATTTCAAGCTTTTGAAGGTGCAATATGGTATTCAAAATACAATTTTAGCTGCACTCAAACTTTAGAACTCGAGTCGTCACACAGCAACTACAGTAATTATTCTATTTAACAGCTTATTATTTGAGGCACTAGAATTACAAGAAATCAATGCCTCAAACTAAGTTGTCATATAGACGACCATTATAGTCACTGATTATGAATAACATTTATGTAGTCAATTTTAAGTTGTAAATTATTTTCGAATTCAATATAGGTAATCAATACAATGACAAAGAGAAAACAAAGGAACCTGAGTACAAATATGAGACGAAATTGACATCGATGCTTGAAAATGCCAACTATTATCCTCAGAACTTTAAGCATTGACTTAATGTTTCATACACGGACATAGGATTGGACAAGATTGGATAATACAAATGACATGATTTTAACTTGTTTTTCTTTCATAATATTGTCGAGATCCAAAGCTATCCATTTCACTTCACTACCAAATATGGCCTCAGTGATCTCTACTTTGGCCTTCAAAATTCTCACTCGGCAGGAGGAGCTCTGTAATATGCAGGAACAGTTGCTGGAAAGAACATCTGCCTCACACCTTCAGCTTTGATAATTGGGAAGATTATTTCTGATGCACTCTGCATTGGTGAAATCGAATCAGGGATCGAAATAGTGAGAAGCAGAGAGAAAAGAAATAAATAACATGGGAAAGAAACAGTACTTACAGAAATCAATCTAGCCCCAATCCACATGCGTTTGGGAGATGGAAAAGGCAGCAACAACCGTCCAACACCAAATATTGCCACTGCAAAGAAATGACAGACCAAGCTCAATGGCCGTGGGTTCAGCCCCGAAAGCAATGATATTGGCCCGTTTGAGAAAACACCTCCAAGGCTTAAATAGTCGAAGCATGCCCGGCGCATCTCATTCCGTGCTTGATCAGGTGATGCACTGAAGACCTTGTACAGTGCCCCTGCCAATGTGTTGATAGTGGATGCCACGGGCTGAAAATTGAAATATTCAATATGAGATGACAAAATTAGTACGTCAGAGCATGTTTGGCTAAGCTTAAAAAATCCCACTTATCCAAAAACGAAGTTTTACTTAGTTTTAAGCTTAGGCGTACACGCCATGATTGATGGTCCAGCATTTTTAACGACTCACCTTCCGCAAGGTGTAAAAGGATTCAAGATATTTGCAGAGAGTATGTGCATCATTGAGATCATGCAGGGGCTTAAGAAGATTGCGCAGTACAACAATATCAGACAATGCAACAGTCATTCCTCCGCCAGTCAATGGGTGGCGCATGTTGAATGCATCCCCCATAAGCAAAGCCCCAGGAGTAGGATGCGGAGCAGCAGGCATGCTTCTGTTGGGCATTGTCCTAATATTTCCTCTCTCAATAGCAGAAATAAATGCATCGAGCAGTTCAGAAGGGACCTAATACAATTGTATAAACTATCAGTTTAGAGCACCAGCAGAAAACAGTAAGAGCACGTTTCGTAAGCAGGACTCAACGTGTAATGAACTAGATTTTTAACTTCTTTTTCGTTCTTAAAACTGTCCAATTGTCCCGTTCATTCCTCCATACTAAACATGGCACAAGTTACTAACTATACTTACTTGGGGCGCAACTGTGGTCTTCAAATATTTGGCCATTTCACCACTTGATATAGCAGGGACCTTTTGACCAGGAACATCAACCAGACAGCGAATCTCGGTGCTGCTGATGGGGTAAAACAATATAGGTGATGGGTCAGCCAGAATAACATGCCCGTGGTTTGCATAAGGAAGCTGACAGTCCTCTAGGACCAGACCAACAAAACAGGAAGGCACGTCTACCTGTAGCATAAAATATGATAATGCAGGTAAGTACTAAAAGAAACAGGATAGCACCGATGCAGATAAACTTTCGATGGTACTTGAAAGAAATCCAGTCACGTTAATAGAAAGGGGAAAATTGCACCATTGGTCCCAATATAAAGCCGATAAGCAAGTTGGTCATTACTGTTGCACAACAGTCCCCCAACAGCGGAATTCTTCCAAATTCTCATTTCACTGGACGGTTTCATATGTGAGCGACTGATACTGATATTATAATAAAAGACTGAGGACAAACTTGGTCATCTTGTAAATATTGGGTACCAACACAATACTCCTGCAATATGCTGGGACCAATAGTGCAATTCTCCGTAACAGAATGAAGGTGACAAACTAATAGAAAAGTGAAAGTTTAGTAAACCTTACCTTCGAGGTGCAAAGAGAGCGTCGCAGGTTAGAAAAGCAGCCATCACATACGACAGTTAGAGGTGCATATGCTTTCAACTCCTCACCAGATTTATTTTTGTATTGGACACCTCTAATGGTCCCATTTTCTTCAAGAAGAGACGTAACAGTCCCTTGCTTCAATTGAACACTGTCAAATAGCAAGAGACAAGATGTAACTATCAATTGGCCCAAAGACCATTTTAAAAAATAGTAGTGACATAAAATCTTCTGATTGGGTAAGATCCCCTGGAACAAATAAAAGAAGACGTAAGTGAATACCTGGGGAGAGATGCAGCTTTTTCGCGCATCCTCTGTATAAAGCGTCCATTGTGAAAGCTCCTCCCAGATACATCAGAGTGAAATTTCTCCAGAGGATAAGAAAGTCGAGTGGCTTTTCCATCCTTGAACAGAGCATAACCAAACACCTTTTGGGCATCAATTTCTTCCACGCAATCTTTAAAAAATAAATAAATAAATAAATAAAATTAATAATAATAATAATAATCAACTTCAACAACACAAATTTGGGAGAGAAATCCATAAGTAAATAGAGAAATTGAACGACAGTCACAGACAGTTGCGTATAAATACAGCCTTGAGATATGTACAAGTTAACAACACAGCAAGATTTACCTTCAAGTCCTAACTCAATTAGTTTGAGGTAGCCTCCTGGTTGTAGAAGTTCTCCGACAATTCTGTCGGGCTCTTTCAAGTCCCTTTCAATCACATGCACCCTGCGTCCATCCTGCAAGCGGAATTCCACAAAAAATATTAGAATTGTGTTGGATTATGTGGAGCCAAATTATATCATTCACTTATCCATTCCTATTGATGTTTTTCTTGTTATAAAGGTAAAATGAGAGCAAATTTTTGCATTGGGTCGCCAGCCTCCTTATATAAAGGAAGCCGAGGGGGAATTTTTCTAAGAATAAGACACAGGTGTGAGGAAAATGTAAAGGTACAAGTAGATGTAGCTTCGAGAATGAACCATTATAAATCTATATGTTTGCAAGTGGGTATATTTCGCTTTTCATTTCATTTATTTTTACTCTGGAGACGGAAATTAGAGCTTAATCCTTAACATTTTGCAGTTGAATCTTTCATTTCCAGAGCTTTCAATTCGAGACAAGTTGCAATGCGAGATTATCGAGCAAGATAAACAAGATACAAACAAATTTCAAAAATCTGATATCTTTATTCTGCTGTTTCCCTTCCTCAAGATTTCAAGAATCAAAAGCTTAATTACAAACGAAATCATCTATGAAATGACCAATACAAGCTAGAACCCAAAAATTAAACAAGAAAATTCCACTAGAACCTAGAAAGTCAAATGAAATTTACCTCAAAACCAATTTTATCAGTTACATTAAGCAAATCGAATCTCTATACTAAACAAAATAATCTCAGGTACCAAAAGTAGTTATTATAAAAATAAATAACCAAAAGGCCATAACACGGAAAATTAGCAAAAGCGTACCTTCCCAAGGGTGTGAGCAAGGGCGGCGCCGGCGACGCCTGCACCGACAATTATGATATCGGCGTCGACGTCGGCACCGTTCTTGGATCTGGAAATGATGGTGGTGGAGGTGGTGACGGCTAAGGATTCTGACTCTGTCTCACCGTTTTTCTTGGAAACCAAACGATACAACACCACAAACCCAAAAAGAAGAGCCAAAATGGAAGCCAAAAGCGTCTGATCCGCCATTTTTACGGGCAATGCAGAAAACCCAGAAACTAGCTCCATTGCCAGAGGCGAAGAAAGAGAATATACGACGTCGTTTTATCTTTCTCTCTACAGAAGGAGAGAATGTATTCTCCGTCCGCCTGTCCTCTGGTTTGTGCTTCGCTGGCTTTCTCTGCGTTTTCTTTGAAAAACAAACAACGTCGTGGTTGCAGGTTACAAGTTAAAACGTTGTGTACACAACAAAACAAACCAAGCATTAACAAATTGAAACTTCTTTTTACTCAATTAGTCCCTCAGCTTTGTTCTCATTTTAATTTAAGCCTTGTTTGAGCTACATTATTTTTCATAGGAATACATTTTTGAATAGTATATTAATGTAAAATTTGTGATTAAAAAATAAGAAAAAATTTTGAATCTACGTGCACCAAACTGAAGATTATTTTCAAACCTACATATTAGTTGAACTGTCAAAATCGAAAATCGTTATTACAATCGTTCTCTATACATTCTCATATTATTATAATTGTTCTCTATACATTCTCATAATATTACACATTAGTTGACATATTATTACAATTGTTCTCTATACATTCTCATATTTTGATAACTTTCCATAATTACATTATTTTCTATATTGTCAAATGCATCATTCTTAATATATGCAATCAAATTATTATTTAACCACTAATCTTTGATTTGATTGTGTAGAATTTTCTACATAAGTCATCACAAAAAATGCTCTCTCAACTACATCAGTAGCTACGAAAAAAATTAAGGCCAACGTCACAAGCTTATAGACTAATGAATATATTTTATGATTATTTTTCACAGTCATCTTCCATACAAGATCACTAAAGCCTTGTAATCCTTCAAAATCTTTATTAGTGCGCATGTGAAGAACATATGTATCTAGTTTATCATCAAGTCTAGAGATATCTGCTACGTCAACATCTATGACTAATACTCACATAGTCGAATTAGTTTATTCTTGTCAAAGTAGAAAATGAATTACTTGGACGGAAATTGTAACACAAATATTAAGTCACTATTTACCTCAAAAAACGATCATTTGGTTCTTGAAGTAGCATATTAATTATGGCATAAAATATTTTCATACTAAAGTGATGCAAATTTATCACCGTATCACGCTATGAATAACCTAGAGTAATAAACATGTCGTCCATATTGGGAATATTGATCTTGTGAGCTTCATAGAATGAACAAATCATTTCAAGAATAGAATCACATCCATCATCCTTCATAGTTTGAAGTTGTACTTTACATAATTTCACCAATCTCATAGCATTGACAATATCTTGATTTATCCTTTGTAGTGCTTTGGACAATTCATTTGAAATTCTTAAGATATTTTTCATGAAATATAGATAAAATGCACATTCAAACTTTAACTTCGACTCAAATAAAATGCATGCATCACCTCTTGTTTTGAAACTTGTAGTGTCGGTAGTAATCATCTCAACAACATCAAATGTGGTTGAAAACATGACAATCAAATTATTTAAACAATTGTGGTGAGAGCATCAGCGTGTATCACCAAAATGCTTTCTTGATTGAGACCATGTCCACGTGATATTTCACCAACACTGAGTGTTCTAAGAATTTTGAGTCTATATGTCTCTCCAAAAAGATCATTCTATTTAATTGTTCTTCCAACAACGTTCACCAATCTCTCTGCTGAAGCGAAGAAAGTTTCATTTTTCGGATGTTTCTTGATGTGATCCAGGACACGCAAGCATTGAAATCAAGTCCAACGTCAAGCTTGAGGAGAGATCCATTGATAGTCGATAGTGGATTGATGATGCTATAGAAGGCGAAGCGAGTGAAAGAGGCGTTGGGATTGCTCAACAAGGCAACCATTGATTAAATCATATTCAGGATTCAAAATGCAGCAAGTTTCATGTTGAGATCAAAGGCCGAAGAAGTTTGAATCAATGTGTTAAAAATGGACGAAAACGAAGCCGAAGTGAAGAACCATGGGACCGCATAGTTCTCCACCTCTTGAGGTCGCACAGATAGGGATAGGGTGTCAATCGGCTGAACTTGATTGTTCCATACGGCCACATGGAATTGATCCATGTGATCGCATGGGTCTATTTCGGGGAGGATTTTTTCAAATTTCGCGAATTTTCCTTTTTTTTTTATAGAGTTTATTTCTTTCCATAATTTTGGCATATTTTGGAGATTATGCAATATTTATCATATCTTAGGGTTTTAGTATAAATACTCATTATTATTCATTGCATTGCAATTTTTGGCATTATTATTATTGAGAGACTTTTATTGCTTTCTTCATGTGTTCTTCAATTGGACAATCTACAAACTTATCAAGATTTAAATATTGTGGTGTTCAAATCAACCAAGTGAGATTCACATATTTTTGTATAATCAAGAGGTCCGCACATCGTCGGCGATTCGGGTTGCTTGGTTCCAAATTTATTGAGTTTAATCCAAAACCTTGTTTTGACTTTCTTGGATCGTTTTTCAATCTTGATTGGGGGTTGGTAGTGTTTGCTTACACGGGTTCACATCAGTTGGTATCAGGGCTTAGGCTTCAATCCAAGGTTATATCCCTTTTAAATTCTTATTGAGTTAGTTATCTTTTTGTTCTTGTTGTTCTTCGAGTCAGTAATTAGTTTTGAGTAGTTGATCAAAAAAAATTTCAAAAGTTATTTTTTGATTCAATTTGCATCCAAATCAACTTTCGTTTGTTACGTTAGCGTCATTGTTGATTTTTCTATCCCAAGAGTAAGAAAAATTACTGTTCATCCGTACCGTTAAAAAATTCAAAAAATACGAATTTTAAAAAAATTGTTATTATTGTTATTGATCTCGAGAATTTACTAGCTTCATTAGCCCCTTTTTTATTATTTGTGTCTAGTTTAATTCTCCAGGCAATTTTTTCTTCTATTTTGTGTTCTTGAGTCAATTTCTTCATTTTGTTTAGTCCGAATTGTTAACCAAGTTATTCTAAATTCCTTGGGTTTATAATCTTGCTCACATCGGTTTGGATTCCACTGATTAAAATTTTGATTGAGTTTCAAATTGTTCTTTTGGGTACTTGGTAAAAGCAATAAGTGGTAAAAGGCGGAGTGGTGAGAACAATAGAAGGAAAATGCTATATTGAGTAAATTCTGAGTGAATTTTGTGAGGCAGAAAAAAATTAGATTTAGGATGTCGGACGGGGAAAGATCAAATTCAGAAAAGATTGATGACCGAATTACTATGCTGGAGGACTTGGTACGGAGGATTGAGAGGATAGTTGGAGACGTGAGGGATCAATTGGATAGGCAGGACGCACGGTTGGAAAGACTAAATCCAATTTCTGCTAATGTACGAAAGGGAGGTCCTAATGCACGGAGACAAGATAGGCGGGAACTTAGGATGGAGGAATATAGTGATCTTGAAGTTGATAGTGGGATAAAGAAAGATGTGATTGTGGATTCGGAGATTGGAAGGGGAAGAAATATAGGAGTTAGGCAAGAAATGAGAGGTAGGAATTTTATTGGAGGCGAGGTGGATGGAAATTTGGGGAACATTAAAATGATCATTCCTTCATTCAAGGGGAGGAGTGATCTGGAGGCATATTTGGAGTGGGAGAAGAAAATTGAATTGATCTTCGATTGTCACAATTACTCGGGGGAGGGGGGGAGGTAAAAATTGCAGTCCTTAAGTTCATCGATTATGCCATTACTTAGTGGGATCAAGTGGTGACTACGATGTGGAGAAATGGGGAACGCCCTATCAACACATAGGAGGAATTGAAAACAATAATGCGGAAGAGATTTGTACCTAATCACTACTACCGGGAGCTTCATCAAAAAATTTAAAATTTATATCAAGGCTCTAGGAGTGTGGAAGATTACCATAAGGAGATGAAAATGCTAATGATTAGGGCAAATGTGGAAGAGGATAGAAAACCACTATGGCTCGATTTTTGAGTGGGTTGAACAGGGAATCACAAATGTAGTGGAATTACAACACTGTGTGGAAATTGAAGATATGCTACATGTGACCATGAAGGTAGAGAGGCAGTTGAAGCAAAAAGGGACAACAAGGTACCCATCTGGATCTTCAAGTTCTAATCCTTTTTGGAAACCAAAGTGGGAAAATAACAAAGAAGATGGAACTGTTGAAAGAGGAAGAACTGAGGTATGAAGAGCAAAGAAGAGGGTGCTAGCAAGGCCATACCAAAAGGAGAGTCACAGCCATCAAAAAACAGGGATAACAAATGTTTATGTTGCTTAGAAATGAGGCACATTGCTTCTCAATGCCCAAACAAGAAAACAATGATTCCGTGGGACAGCGAGGAAGTGGAAACTGAAAGTGAAAGTGATTATGCAGATATGCCAGAATCGGAGGATGCTGATGAAGAAGACACCACGAAGTATGCGGTTGGTGGTAGACTGTTGGTCACAATGCGAGCTCTCAGCGCTCAAGTCAAGTATAATGACTTGGAGCAGCAGAGAGAAAACATATTCGACAGGCGGTGTCACGTCAATGGCAAGCTATGTAGTGTAATAATTGATGGTGGAAATTGTACTAATGTGGTCATCACTAATATAGTGGAAAAATTGGGTTTAACATTATTAAAGAATTATCGGCTCTATAGATGACAATGGTTAAATGAATGTGGGAAAATCAAGGTGACAAAAAGGTGTTAATTAATTTTTTCCATTGGTAAATATTAAGATGAGGTGATATGTGACATTGTATCTATGTATGTGGGGCATATCTTGTTAAGAAAACCATGACAATACGATAGGAAGGCAATGCATGATGGGTATAAGAATAAGTATAGTTTTGTGAAAGATGGGAGGTCTGTCACTCTTGCACCATTAATATCGGGACAAGTATATGTCAAATTCAACTAAACAATGAAAAAGAATCAAGAGTAAAAGAGTTAGATAAAAAGAGAGAAAATAGTGAGGTGGCCAATAGAGATGAAAAGAGAGTGGGGCCACATGAGAAAAGAAAGAGAGTCTTCCATGAAGAGAGAAAAGCCGAACCAAAATTTCTTTGCGAGAGGGAGTGAATTAAAAAAGGCACTAATGGAGACACAACAAACGATACTATTGGTTTACAAGGAGTCACTTTTTAACTATGAGGAGCCTAACACATCCCTCCCTAATTTGGCTATTTCTTTGTTGCAGGAGTTTGAAGATGTATTTTCGAAGGACGTGTCTAGTGGGTTAC